GACCCCTGACTGGACTCCGCTTCGTCCACGGTGAAAGCCGATCCGGTGATCCACAGCGCGAAGTTGATGTATTTCCTCAGCGACCAGCATGGATCAGCTCCAGGCATGACGAAGTGGATATCGTCCTCTTTTGGAAGACCAAACAAAGTAGTTTCGCTTTCACAACGAAACACACAGCGCCTTCACGACATGGCGGCGGCGGCAACAGCAATACTGCAGTGAGAATAAGTTGCGCCTTCTTTCTTTGCGTGAACATTTGGGTGGCGTTATGCAAATCTTCAAATTCAAAAAAAGAGAAAGGAAAAATTTTAATTGCATCATATGACCCCTTTAAAGGAATAGTTCAACATTGAAAATTCATCTACATCTTGGATAGCCTGAGGGTCAGTAAAGTTTCAACAAACCTCCATTTTTGGGTGAACTATTCCTTTAAATTACCTTTTTGTTTTTACTTTGAGGTGAAAACAGGCTTCCACTCCAGCAACAGTGAACTTTGCTGAAATAGTACAATATTTTTTTTTTCTTTAAACTGACTGTTCCTGCATATTCAAATCAGTACCTCCATGTTCACCCAGTGACTGCCATCAACAGTGAAAACCAGGATCTTATCTCCATTATAACCACAGGGTAAAGAGAGAAGGAGGGATGTCCAAAGGAAAATGAGGGAAATGTATCCACACATTCCTCTTTTTTCTGTATCTCAAAATAACAAAAATAATCAGCGAGATAATCACTTTAAATTCCTTTCCAGTACAAGAAACTTCACAGGCAAGATCACTTTAAAATATTTAATCAAGAATCATCAGAGAATAAACAATATAAAGATGCAGATACTTTCTAAATGCACCCAAGCCATTCAGACAAAATTATATATATTCATTATGCAGGTTAGTTATTACACTATAGATCAATTAGTATAGTCTATAAATATGGTGTCTATAAATTTATGTCTATTATCATTATTTAAATGAGATGCAAGTAGCAGTCCTTCTATTTAACAAATGTTGTGATAGACGGAATTGGTGCCATCTGGACTACAGGAGCAACTGGTGCCGCACCGATCACTCCAACCGACTGCTGTGAAGTGATAACTTGTGTGGTGGTTGCCATTGGAATGGTCTGAATCACTGGATGTGTGGTCACTACAGTGACAGTTTGCTTGCGTGCTTTGATTTCTCTACTCATCTGACACCACGAACACCAGATACAACAGCAAGTCATCATGATGTCCTCACAGATACTGCCCTGTTACAACACATACAAACAATGATTGTTTTGTAGCCCTCTTTGAGTCCGTCTTTCATTGGTAGAGGGAAAGGAAAAACTCACCCCAATATCGTATTTGTGGCGAACTGCCACCCTCATTCCGAGAGACACAGGCGGCACACATACTGGAACCCCAAAAGCCGCCATGATACCTGGGCCGAATATGTCCAGCAGAGGCAGACAGGTGCTCTCCCCAAAATCCCCAGTGGTGGTGCAGGTAAAGCAAGGAAAGCACCAGAACCCATAGCAGCCTGAGGACCAAAAAATGCTTTAACACTTTATTTTAAGGACCAATTCTCACTATTAACTAGTTAGCACGCATATTTCTAGCACATTACAACTTATAAAGCACAAATTAATGCCTTATTCTACATTACCATATTTTAGGTATAAACATACCCCATACCTAAACTTAACAACTACCTTACTAACTGTTAATATGCAGCAAATTAGGAGTTTGTTCAGGGAAAAATCTTAGTTACTAGTGAATGTGTGTTCCCTAATCTAAAGTGTTACCAAAAATACACATAATGTGAAATTATAATTTTTAATGAACTGTAAAAATGGACCTTTAAGCATACTTACAAGAATTCATGTCCTGGCAACAGTCACATATTCCTGAATTCCAGCCGCTCTTTTGAGGTGTCTGCACAATTACAGTCGTCATTGTGATTGGACTTTTCTGATATGGAAGGATGACAAAGAAAGGAGAGTTTCTCACTGATCCTAGTGATATATTTTATTTTAAACTACCATCTTAATTTGAACTTGAAAATATGCACTGTAAACGGAATCTTACAAAAATAAATAAATAAATAACTCATTACGTGCAATTTGAGACTCAACTCAAATTGATGAGTTTTCCAGAAAGCTTAGATTGTAAAGAAGTTTGTTATATTTTGTATAATCTAACGAGTTACAGACAGTCTATTGAATTTAGGTTTAGAAATTCAAGAAATTAATTTAATTGGTTATTATTCTTTTAATACAAGTCATATTATTATTTTTTCATACAGCAATGCATGCTGGGAACTACTGGACATTATTTTGTATGTGCACTGTAAATTCCAATTAGTAAACCTTACTTTAAAAAAAGCATGCAAACCGATTGCCTTGAAAAAACCAAGTAAAGTGAAATAAGAATAATAATTTGTAATAGCAAAGGTTTATTTAGTGTTGTAAACTTACACGCAAGTTCTGGTAACTCAGAATCACTATTTTCAACAACTAAATATAATAAGTACAATATACTATGTGCGTATTTCAAACAACTCTTTTATTTAAGTTGAGCCAACTCGTGTAACATTTCCTGCAACTTGTAATTTCTAAGTTGTATTTACTTAAACAGCAATCCGATTTACTTGCTAAAAGCATGCAAACCGATTGTCTTAAAAAAAACAAGTAAGCGTTACTCCACTAACTTAAGTGCTTCAAATATCCATTACAAATTACTGACAACAATGTTCCATTCATCACACACGCATACAATTACACATACATTTAAGTTCAATGTTAAAGGTAATGTTTTTAGTTTTTTTTGATTAGGGTATGCTTCTTGTAAACAGTGGAGGTAGCAGTACAATGAATAAGTATGGCACTGGGGTGGCCGCACATGTTTCCAATGTTTTTTAGTTTTTTTCCTGTCCCAAGTCAAGCATCACACTGTAAGTGTTCTTCACAGTATTAGGGTAATCCAAATGGACTGTACCAGTGATCCAAACATAGCACATGGCAGTCCGGAAGCAAATGGCTGAGGTAGACCCTGGAGAC